ATGAAAAGAATTTTCTAAGTTAGTGTACCAGGTAGTTGACACAGTTGATTGAATATGTGTTCTGATAAGATAGTATTCAGCTAATTCTACAAAGAGAATAGTAGTGGCAGTTAAATAATAGGAGCAAATCTCGAGTTATACATGCACCCAGGATCTTGAGGCAAATGTAGCATCCTTGCAGTGGGGATTGTGGCTCTGCATACTGAGGATGTGTCACTTTCTGGGCTTTTTTCAATTACTTATAACTGCTAAACTTCTCCATTTAGGAAAATTTCCAGTCTGAGCATCAGCCTTTTTTTTCTGGGAGGGTGGAATTTGCAGCCAAAATTATTCAGAAAAAAGCTAGGAAAACCGATACATTTACCCTATTAAAAATGTGGTGATCTTTTGTTTGAAAAGATCTAGACCAGTGGCAGGCTATCAAGGGGTTAAGTGCCAGAACAGGAAAGATATACTGCTGGCTCTTCTTCCTGGTATAGAGACATGGCATAACCCACAGCAACACAACTGCAATTAAAAGGGCTTCTGGATCCTTTAGTATATGAAATGGATTATGCTTTGGCAATGTTTCAGGGCTCTAGAACAGTAATTCTTAACTTATGTAGACTTAAAGATACTCTTCCATAACGTTTCTGAATTTAGCAGCACCATTTCAGAAACTTATTTCACTCTTTTTTTTGACTGGGAAAAATAATAGAATAAATCTTGTGTTGCAGAGAACTTGGATGACAAGTCAGAATGATTTTGACACTGTAGATTCCTGTTGGAATATATGGGTTATCTCGTGAATCATATTTTGGTACTTGCACACTGAACAGTGCTAATCTTGCATGGCACCCCAGAACAGCCGTCAAAGGCTCTTATGACATCCTGGTTGAGAATCATATTTTGGAATGAAGAAGGCTGTTAGCTATAGGACCCTGCTTTATTTGTTGCCTAAGTTGCATACATTTGAAGATATATAGTGTATAAGGTAGGAAATTGTAGGAAGGGAAAAAAATTATTGTTCAGAAAATGATTAAGGCAGCTGAATGCCATTCAGGAGAACTGGATTTTGTCCCTGTCACAAAATTCATATATAATACTTGTCAAGTTAGTTAATTCAAGCCTGTCACAAGTGATCACTCCTTGTGTTTCTAATTTGTCTGGTGCCTGACTTAGTCTGGCTTGCCGAAGTGTTGGGCACACAGCTGGAACCAAAATCAGTGGAGACCATCCTGAATATTTCAAATTAGATGCCAACAATGTGGATATTTCTAATCTTAATTCTCTGTGCCTTGGTTTCATTATCTGTATAATAGAGAATAATGCCCCCACGACAAATGGGTTTTATATAAAACATGGTGAAGATTGTATTGTTACTATCTGATGAGGATGAACAGCCCGTGAGGATCTGAACATTGTGCATAGGAAGGTCAAATATTATCATATAATGTAGAGAAGATAAAATTTCTGATAGTTGTTCAGAAATTAAACTTTGTCCCCATGTGAGCCAAAGTTCATGTAGTACATAATGAATGTTTAGGAGTGATGTCCAGCTTTGATGGTCCAAGTAATATGCAAGAGGCAAGAATTTTTGTAGGTAATATCTTTTATTGGACCAGCTGCATAGTTAGGATGGACTTAAAACAAGCTTTTGAATGATGTGAAGAAGAATGAACTCCATTCAAGAGCTCTAAGTTTATCTCGATCATGCAGTTGATCCAGTAAAAGATAACTCCCACAAAAATCTTTTCCTCCTGCAAATACAATGTTATCACATAATTAGAGTATCACAATGTATGTGCACATTGGGGCTGAAATAAGGTTGCATAGGCAGCCTTAAATCTGTCATTTCCTGGCTTAGATGGCAACTTTAATAATGTTCTTTTAGTATAATCTTTTTTTTGTATAGTAGCATATACAGTGCGTGAACTTCCAGTGCTTAGTGCCAACAGGAAACTAAATTGATTCAGACAACGTGCATTCAAAGATGCATACAGATTAATGCTGCTACCTGTTCTTACTGTATTTTCACAAGACTCTTATTTCTAACCCCCTTTCATCCTGTACCTCCCATCCCTTTCCACGTGATATTTAATTTGGGCCCTAATTCTGCAGGGACATAAGCATGTGCCTGGCTTCAAGCTCATCAGTAATCCTGTTGAACTCATATTTGTGTCTGAAATTAAGCCCATGTGTAAATCTTTACAATTTCAGGATTTTGATCATTAAAATTATATCTTAACTTTAAGTATACAGTACTCTCATTGAGCTTAATGGGACTATTGATGTGCTCAAGCCTAGGTATATGCATGGGTCCCATGTTATAAACTACTAGAGAAGAGCATCTTTGCATCATTATTACCTTGATTGTCAAAATGAAAGTTAAGAATATAATTCCCACTCTAGAATAGCTTATTTACAGAAACATATAGACTATATGGTTATATTGCCTAAAACTTTATATACTCTTCATTATTTAGGCTATCACTTGCATTTATTTGTTTGCACAGTGAAAACAGGCTAATCCAGGGGTCCCAGCCTGTGGCCCATAGCCAGGATCCAGCCCAAAAAGCCTTTGAATTTGGCCCACAGATGTGGGGCTTCAGCAGCAGACATTGGCTCATGCCACTGCAGAGAGCTGTGCCAGTGGCAGGTGGGTCCTAGCACCCACTTACCCACTTGCCTCTGAGCCAAGGTGGGTCATTCCAACCCACAGCTGGAAAAGGTTGCCTAGCACTAGGCTAGTCAGTTTGAGTCTCACTTTTTTTTGTGTTTGTATGTAGCATCGTTTTGAGTTGCATACACTGCAGTAGAATGCTTGATTCTGATAGTCTTCCTTTTTAATGTTTTTTTAAAAAACAAAAAAAAAAACCTTGAAGTACTCTACTCTCTCATGCAGAAAATGACGCTGAAGGGATTTGAACGGACACTTATTTTCACCATTTTTCTAAGTGTTTCACTTCCTTACAGTCAACTAACTTAAGATGACTGTAAAATAATTGTCTTGTTTGGGTGGGGTGTGTGAGAGAGAGACAGCCCTTAGTTGCATACAATGAGTTTGACAGTTTCCTCTGCATAATGACTACCATTTGATGCTCCAAGTGCTGAAAAGGCCCTTGCTAAAAAAACCCTACCCACCGATATGTGGAATGAAGTGTAACTGCTTATCAGGTTTTTATTTAAAGCAATTTAAAACGGCATACTATTTCCAGTTGTGTATGTCAAACACAGTATTTTGAGTTTGAGCTAACGGTAGGTTGATGGGGCAAATCTTTAAAAGGAAAAAATAGACGTGCATTTGGTTTACAGGCTTCTGTCCCACGCAGCAATGCATACATGAATCTTAAGTATTATGAATAAACATTTTCACTGTGTAGATTTATTTGAGTAGTGCAGCTAAAAGAACATGCCTAATTTACGCATGTGAGAATTTCTGTTGACTGCGTTTGTTTGTTTGTTTTTTAAGGCTTCGAGAACCCAAGAAAGATCTGATAGTACGAGTAGTGAAAATCATTGGGACTAGGAAAGCTATTGAACTACTTATGGAAACAGCAGAAGTGGAACAAAATGGTGGACTATTTGTAGTGGTAAGAAAAATTAATAAAAGTAGGAATAGGTTTTTTCAGTCTTACTGTAATAAATAATGTTGTTGAGATTTTTAGCACTAGATGAAGTTTTCCAAAGTCCCTGTGTTACTTTAGGAATACCTTCATTTCTTTCTCTTTTACATTTAACTATGAGGACAATCCACAATAACCTTTTTTACTCATATACCACATTTACACTGCCCCCAAAAATTAGCCTTCCTAAATCTGGGTTCTTGTCTTAAGCATGAAAGCTGATTTTTTTTTTTTAAATGAAATGGAAGCATGGAAACACTGTGAAGTGGCTGACATGCTTATCCCCATACCAACCTCAGGAAGGGAGGGGTGGAGTTTACTTTGGGGGCAGCGGTACAGTGTTAACCCTTTCACAGTTGCTGGCTACTCAGCTAAAAGCTACTTCCAATTGTACAGCAGCTGCTGCCAATTCACCAGTGGCTGTGAATAGTTTAACACAACCTTTTGCCTAAGCAGCACTAGTCAGGATTCAGTCATGAGATCAAGATCCCCTGCAGTCTGAATTCAGCCATGACTGGAAAAATCTTCATTCTGCTTTCCCAAAATAAGGTGCATGTCTTTTTCTGGGAGGTGTGTTGTGTGAGAGAAAACATGGGTAAATGGCTAATGCTGCTATAAAGCTTCAGAGCAAACAATGTAACAAAAAGAATTGAGGCAGGAGTGTCTGCATTTCTCAACTACTGTGTTAGACTCTCTGCTGACTTCTAAAGACATCTTTGTGTTGATTACTTCTTGGGGATGTTGCCTTAACACAGGGAACAGAAACTTCCTATTATAATGACAGCTTAGTTTTTGCATACAGGTCACACAGATAGACATTGTGGATGTTTGGTACTGCTGGCCTATATATGCAAGTAGAAACCTACCAAGTTTGGGGCAACTGCCCATTGATTTTTGCAGTCCGAGCGTGGTGCCCAGCTCCATTTTCGCAGTCCAAACCTAGCAGCCACCCCTGGGACCGCCACCCCTGTACCGTTGTCTGAGGGACCCCAAAAGTCCCACTCCTCTGGGACCTGCTAACACATCAATTAATGGTTTCTGCAGACTTAATCCCCTGATCAAGCCCACAGAAGCCACTAACCACATTCTAGACTGCTTAATAATATGTCATTTAATAGCTTTTGCAGGCTTAATCAGGGGATTGACATGTTATTATTAAGCAGCCTAAACACCTAATTAAGGTCTAAAATGAAATATTTTATAAAGCTATGGACATGATGAATTGCAAGTAATACCAACTATATACACTTTATTAAATAATACCATCTAAGTCAGGGATGTGAGCAAAATGGTGGATCCGGCCTCTGGCCAGACTCCATTTCTCAGCAGCCCTTGCCTGCTCAGCTCCTGGCAGTCTCCATGGAGACCCTGGGAGTGCAGTGCCAGAGCAGAGCCCTGGTTCTGTGGCAGCGTGCTGTCATTCACCTGCTCTCCTGAGGTCTCCATGGAGACCAGCCAAGATCTGCATGTCCAGACAGGGAGCTGGGCCAGGACTGGGGCCAGGATCTTGTTTTGGTGACAGCATGGGGTGGGGCCAGGAGAGAGCTGTGATCCTCTGCCTGCATGTCCAGCCCATAGAACCCTCACCCATCACAGGGGTGTGGGGGCAGTGGATTTTGGCTCTGCTCTGGCCCTGCCCCATGCTGTCATGGGTATGCTTTTTGAGAGAATTATCCTGGTGCATGTCCACGAGGGGCCAGCAGAAGAGATTATGCTTAGGGGCAACCAACATGGGTGCATTAGAGGCAGGTCCTGTCAGACCAACCTGGTGGCCTTCTATTACGAGGTCACAAAATCCTTGGACACGGGTGTCGCGGTGGACATAGTCTTTCTGGACTTTAGGAAGGCCTTTGATACTGTCTCTCATCCCATTCAAAAACTAGGAGACTGGTGTTGATACCTACACAGTCAGATGGGTCACTAATTGGCTGAAAGGCTGTACCCAGAGAGTGGTGGTGGACAGGTCATTTTTGACCTGGAGGGATGTGGGCAGTGGGGCTCCACAGGGCTCGGTCCTTGGGCCTGCACTGTTCAACATCTTCATCACCAACTTGGACAAGGGGGTAAAGAGCACCCTGTTCAAATTTGCAGATGACACTAAGATGTGGGGAGAAGTGGGCACACTAGAAGGGAGGAATAGGCTGCAATTGGACCTGGACAGGTTACAGGGGTGGGCAGATGAGAACAGGATGGGTTTTGACACTGACAGGTGCAGGGTAGGCACCTGGGGAGGAAGAACCAGCAGCATACCTACAGGCTGGGGAACTCCCTTCTCGTCAGTGCAGAGGCAGAAAAGGATCTTGGAGTCATTATTGATGCCAAGATGAACATGGGGCAGCAGTGTGGAGATGTAGTCAGGAAGGCCAACCATACCTTGTCATGCATCCACAGATGCATC